GTGTCCTGCATTGTCAATGCGGAATTTGTCAACTGAAGGTTTGTGTAAAAATATAAAATAGATTAAAAACTCTGCGGCACCTAAAAGTATATACTTAACAGACCACGATTGTAGTCTCAAGGTGTTGTTCTAAAATACCATTATTTTATTACGTCGAGTTGTTTAGAGATATGAGGACTGTCTTGTATTTAATGGGAATAACTTGTGTTTTATTGGTCTATAATTGCATTCATTCAAATGTTCCGATTTTTTTTTTAAGTTTCATATAATACGTATTTATGTTCCGATTTCAAAATGTGTGAAGGTAAATGTATTTATTAAAATATTGGAACATAAATTGCTCTCATTATACAAAGACACTCTAAATCCTTTTATACATGGTATTAATGTTTTACATTATATATAAAGTTGGTAAGTAATTTAAATTAGTTTGAAAAGCTAGTTTAATTCTATATACAGTTATGAGCGTCATCATCTCTGTCACCGTTTGCTTTTTTTTTGGAATGGCGCTCTCCTATTGGTTGGCTACGATCACGTGGCTACGATGGCGCCGCCACTACGCGAAACACTTTGTTTTTTACTTTGCCCCCCCACTCGCTTTTTGGTTTTTGTGACTATTGTGTTGGAGCGGGTCGCTCCTTAAATAAATGCATATATTAGTTAATAACTAAATGGAATCCTCTCTTTCTTTTTCCCAGTGAGAGACGCCAACGGAAGCCAACAGTACATAGACAGATAAAGCACATAGGCTATAGTTATTAACTAATATATGCATTTATTTAAGGCGCCAATTTATAATTGTAACAAATAGTATTTGAATCAAAACATTCAATCGGGTAAAACACGGGCGTTGCCCGGGTCATTCGGCTAGTAGTTTCATATATAAAATATACTACGCTTATACATATGTTGATAATAATGAACATTTAAAATAAAAGGATTTAAAAGCGCGAATGTTTCTTTTATACATAAATCGAACTCCTACTGTCCTTACTGCGATGAAAAATATATTGGGAGGGCTTGGCTCATCAGTGGTGAACCCTCCCAGCGGTTTCGCCAATTTAATCCACCAGACCGCTTCTCAGAGCTCTAATACTGTATTGGATCATTCTGCTTTTATATGCTACACTGAAGGATGGAATCTTAGAAATGGTTTTCAAGTAAACTATGGACATAAGCTTATAGGACAGTAGAATTACATTCAAATATTTGCTTCGAGCAATGCTCTTTAGCAAACTATAAAGACAAGGCCATTAGAATTAAATTAACACAAAGCAATAACGCGCCATCTATACATATAAAATAAAAGGATTTAAAAGCGCGAATGTTTCTTTTATACATAAATCGAACTTCTACTGTCCTTACTGCGATGAAAAGATATATTGGGAGGGCTTGGCTCATCAGTGGTAAACCCTCCCAGCGGTTTATTTTATATGTATAGATGGCGCGTTATTGCTTTGTGTAATAATGAACATTACAAAATCTTTTATATTTTATCCCTAACTTCAAACTTTTATTTTTCATACCGTTTCAAACTATATTACGCATGATCATCGTCCTATATAAAGGAAGCTCTTTTCACCGACTAGTGTTTATTCTTCTATAGGAGATAGTGATCCTTGTCTGAATTACCATAATACTCATAACTATTGTAGTATTTCTATGAAAAAAAAAAAAAAAAACGTCAGGTTTTAATATACCATTGATAGAAATTATGGAAGGGCCTGACTCATCATTTTTAACGCCTTGCCAAATGCTTTATTTTTATTTACTTCTTCTGACGAAGACAAAATATTTTTGTCGAAACGTTGAGAAAAATTAAAAAATTCTAACTGGCCTATTTTTCATAGAAATATGAATGCTGGCCAGGCAATTTCTATCTTTATGATATTATTACGATAAGATTCGACATGTTTTTGTGGATTGGGGGAACAAACTTCAATACATCTCTTGCTAGAGTGCCCTATCTTTCAAGATTACAGAGTCAACAACGGTTTAATAGCTTTAGGCCCTAGTGATTTAATTTCAAGTAAGGACACATATATAAAATTTAATTTCCTTTGTAAATATATTTTGGATTTCATTAAGAAAAATGGTCTTTGATGTAACGATCTCAAGGAAATATTGGACATATCTTGTGGTTGTAAACAATATATAGGTGCATGCGTGTATATGTGTGTATATATGTATATATTTTTAAATTTAATGATGTAACTGTAAATAAAATTAAAAGAATATCTCTATATGTAAATAATATTTATGAATCTTTATAAGTCGCTTTCTGTGTATCTTCCCATGTTTAATATTTTCTTTGTTATATTTGTATGTATATTTAGCGCAAGTGTCCTTAGGGGAACATAGCGTTTTGAATTGAAATAAATAAATAAATATTGTAGTAATATCGTGAGATTGTGCTATGTAAAAGTTGCATATAGAGTAAGGAAACCCACCATCTGGCCATCGTAAATATGTTGCTGGAGACAACATGCTAATTGTTTATATCGCGGTTGCTGCGGTAACCGGCCATCCCCATACATCACCAACACCTGGTCCCTCAATAAATTTGATCCTGGCGTTCATTTAATAGAGAATGTGGATAGACAACTGTATTATAGGATATTTACACTGTTTTTGACGCGAATGTTTCTTTTTAAAGTTTAAATTTGTTCTACTGTTCTTACTGCAATGATAGAAAGTAAAAAAGTCTGGTTCATCATTGGTGAACCCACTCAGCGGTTTAGCTAGTTTAATCTACCATGATAGAAATAATGGTATGGTCTGACTAATCAGTGGTTAACTTTCCCAGAAGTTTCGTCAGTGAATTCCAACAGGATAGAAAAAATAGGGCCTGGCACATCAGTGATGAATTCTTCCAGCGATTTCGCCAGTTTAATCTACCATGATAGAAATAATGGTATGGTCTGACTAATCAGTGGTTAACTTTCCCAGAAGTTTCGTCAGTGAATTCCAACAGGATAGAAAAAATAGGGCCTGGCACATCAGTGATGAATTCTTCCAGCGATTTCGCCAGTTTAATCTACCATGATAGAAATAATGGTATGGTCTGACTAATCAGTGGTTAACTTTCCCAGAAGTTTCGTCAGTGAATTCCAACAGGATAGAAAAAATAGGGCCTGGCACATCAGTGATGAATTCTTCCAGCGATTTCGCCAGTTTAATCTACCATGATAGAAATAATGGTATGGTCTGACTAATCAGTGGTTAACTTTCCCAGAAGTTTCGTCAGTGAATTCCAACAGGATAGAAAAAACTTGCTTCGTAACTCGAAGCAAAAAATCACTTGCTCGTCGGCTCGTATCTCGAAAAACTCGTATGTTGGGGCGCTCGTATGTCGAGGTACCACTGTATGTTAATAATATATTTAAAGAGAAAAGTAGGGTTAAAATGTTTATAATTATAACCGATTGAGGTCGCTAAGTATTTTAAAATTGTGTAAAGTAATTATCTCCTTTAACAGGTCTTTATCCTTTACTCTTTTCTGAGGATAAATCGACGGATATTTGATGTATCCCAAGAGTCTCTCAAGGAGAAAGGTCGATACTAGCTCAATCCTAAAGTTATAAGAACGAATCTAAAATTACGACAAACTCAGACGCGGTGTGCTTAATTTGGAATACCTAACTTCCGTTCAAATTCATCTAGTTAATTACGAAATATACACTCATGGACAAAACCTAAGGAAGTTGAACCTTCGCGCATGTATATAGGAATCCAGTCAATAACGCTGAAAGATATTTGATACACAGTGACCTTTTTGGAGACACACGGGATAACCATGTGTGGATATAATTTCCTCTGTCTATTTCAATGAAACAGACCATTTTATTGCCATACCAAAGACTTTTCATTTGTCGTTTTGACAATGAGTGTAGGTATTGGATAGTTGAAGATATATTGATAGAAAGCTAGCCATATTGAAGTAAACCAAGATATCGATTCTGAACCATGCGTTGATATTTTCTTCTACAATCGTATTCAGAATCCCGCGTTAAGAATTCTATAAAATATTTCTATCGTGGAATTTCTTCGTAAGGAAACAATATATTCAGAAAAACGGCCTATACAATAGTGTATTTTAAATGAAATAATGGAAAGTATAACAGCAGTTTATTTAAGACCTGCTGATATTTAAAAATATTTCCTGTAGAAAAACTGCTTTCTAATGTAGTGGTTCCAATATTTATAGATCGTTTAAACTATTATCCTATTTTAAAAAATAAATTTTAACTATACTTTACGCCAATGTATTATTTTTAAAATAAATCGATTTTCTACTGCTCTTACTGCAATAATAAAATAATGGGAGGGCCTGGCTTATCAGTAGTGAACCTTTGCAGCGGTTTCGCCAGTTTAATCTACCATACCGCTGTAATATTACATTTTTCTGTTATCCTTTTATATAAATATAGAAGATGGCACGCTAATGTATCATATTATTATTATCCTGTTTGTAGATACTTAAAAAGAGTTTGAAGTTCAGGAGTTAATCGTTGGAAATTGGATTCATTGGAAAAAAGCAAAATCATTTCCAGATTGTTAAACTGAATGTTTGTATTATCCTACTGCCATATTTCGATAAGGTAATACACTAAACATTGATTTTTGTTTGTATTAGATAAAGTTATTCATTTATTTAAAAAATAACACTGGAAATAAAAACATCATTAAGTTGGGTTTTGTTGTCAAAGATAGCAGTAGGTTACACGATCTGGAATTTTTTTCTTTCTTTAATTCAAAACCCCTGGTCTACTCGGAGACAGTGAGGAAACTTCCCTGGATTAATGACACAACTCAAGGTGACGTGGATCCAAAAATATAAATCCTTGATTGTAAAACGACACTTGAGAGAAGTTACACCGCATGAGTTTCTTTTTAACGAAAAATCAAAATTTTATTTCAAGGTGAAATATCGACTATTTCTAACCTTTTTGGATGAGGTATGAAAGGATGAATTATGAAGAGCAATGACGAACGGAAAAATAAAAGCGTCCAGGGATGGGAATCGAACCCACAATGTTCCGCTTACCGGGCAGATGCCATGTCCACTGAGCTACCCTTCAATTGTCGTTTTACAATCACAGGCCGCAGTGTATTATATAAATCCTTGATGCTGGGAATCTCTGGAGGAAGAATGAACAACCGAAATACATTTTATGTAATCATAGATAGCCCAGTATTATTTAATGTATAAGAGTGTGAGTCACTGTGTGGAAACTCAGAATTGATTAGATACCTTTAATATTTATCTACAGAATTAATTCTCATTTTGATATTATAGCATTTATTTCTACAGCCTATATTGTATTGTCAAATTATAAAACTATTTTAGAGGCGTAATATTCTTTTTAAAATAAAACAATTTCTACTGTCCTTACTGCGATGGAAAAATTAAAGGGAGGGCCTGGCTCATCAGTGGTGAACCCTCCCAGCGGTAAATGGTAGATTAAACTGGCGAAACCGCTGGGAGGGTACACCACTGATGAGCCAGGCCCTCCCTTTAATTTTTCCATCGCAGTAAGGACAGTAGAAATTGTTTTATTTTAAAAAGAATATTACGCCTCTAAAATAGTTTTATAATTTGATAACAGATGGCGCTCTAGTACATTGTAATATATTGTATTGTGAGGGTAAAATATTTAGGCGATTGCCTCATCAATTGGCATAATTATATCTTCTCGCTCTCTAAGAATTTTTTTAATTAAGAATTATCTGAAGATAGACCTTTATTTCTACAGCCTATACGGTGGATTGAGGGGATGAAATATTTAGGTTTTACAATACCTAAAATTCTTTGATAAACTATACCTATTTTGAAAGAACCAAATGCAAATTGGATCATCAGCAGCCATATTGTATACACGCAATTCCAGGTCAACCATTTACATAGTTTCATATTGTTGCACCGTCCCGGGAGTTGGCTTTATGTCAATATTGGGTTGGTCCATATCAAGATTATAAGTCAGACCAGAACGAGTAATCGTAAAAGACATTTATTTTAATAAGGAAGGTTTTTTCAATTTTACCAGATCTTGACAAAATTTTAGATATATAAACCAAATATTTACAAATAAAACGCTGATTTAGCTTCCCGTGACTGATGATGATTCAGCTAGTAGGCCACCACAGATTATTCTATGACAATATGAACATCTCTATTTTTGCTTACAAGTATTCTGGGTCAAATCATTCAATCGTTTTGTAGATAGATATTTTACCGTGAGGGAATTGATATATAAAAAATATAGGTCTTCCGTCAAAATAGGCCCTAAAACTGAGCGCCATCTCAATCCAACCCAAACTGTATGTGCGTCCTCTATAAGCTTAGGTAGTGAATAGCACGGGTAAATCTCTTTTCGACAACCAAAACCCTAGATCGAAACTCGCATTGATCATTTTTTACCTGAAATATTTTCCTGCACAGTTCTTGCATATTTCAAACCAAACTAGCGAACTATAGATTATAAGTGTTATTTGGCTCAGTAATAAGTTATGTATTAATACCTGTAACTTGTAGAATAGGTATGTTTGAAAAACTTTAAAACCAATTTTTTTACACTATATAGAGAAATATATATATATATATATTTTTTTTTTAATTAAAAAGACATATATTGGATCAAAATATCATTTATTTTACCAATATTTCAGTTGGCTGAACGCCAACCTTTATCACCTTGATAAAGGTAGTAGTAGTTAGTAAGTAAAATGAATTATATTTTGATCCAATATATGTCTTTTTAATTAAAGATTTATTGATGGATTGCTCTATTTTCAAAATAGAGAAATAGTGACAATGAAAACAATTTGAGATATATATATATTTTTTTGCTTATCCCTAGTACACGTGGTACAGGCCATGATAATCATGGTGGGTAGTTAGCGACTGCTTTTTACTGTAAGCGCACCACATGTCTACACATGTGAAAGCAGATTTGAGATATTAAATATCGTTAATAAAACAAAATTTCTACTGTCCATCCTGAAATGGAAAAAATAATTGGAAGGGTATAGATCATCAATGGTGCATCCTTCGAACAGTTGTTCAAGTTTAATCTACTAGAACGCTCTAATAATATCTTGTGATAGTCCATCTATATAGCGGACAATTTGTAGGAATTGTCGTTTAAGCTATTTTAAGCTGCTTGTAGGCATTAGCTTTTTTTAGGATAGTAGAAATATATACAATATATTTTCATCGTAGTATTTAGGGATATCGCAGTCTTAAATGACTGAGTTGCGTGGAGACAGTTAAAGCGTTCTCTGTGTTCGTGTTTGGTGATCTCCTCGCATACCTGTGTAACCCCGTTCACTCCCTATCAACGTTGCAATAAAATATAAGAACTGGTTTATATATATTTTATACTCTAAAATGCAAATATATATTTTAAAAACATGTTTTTATTCTCATAATTGACTATTCTTTTATTTTTGACCATAGATTTAGAACATAACACTTTGAATATTGTTGTAAATATGTATAGTTAACCTACCTATTTTTAAATCACCAATATAGAATTCATTTTGTAAATTCTATATTACTGTGAAAAATATTTAATGTATAATTTTTTTTAAATAATTGAAAATAAAAAGTAATTGATAACTAAATAACTATCATTCCTTTTTCACGACTGCACCTCCAATTATTTATCATTCCAACATCAAAACATTATAATCATAACATATATAACAGATCGTGAGTTTTATTTACGTCCTCTTTTTTTTTTTGCTGTTGTTGCACTCTTGAGTGTACGCTTTTCTGTGTATTAATTTATTTTTTACTTAAGCCTCAGTAACTTGCAATTTGTGTGCCAACCTGTACTAGTAACTTTTGACATTTGGCAATTGCCATTATTAAAAAATCGCCAAATTGTTTATATTTTCACATATAGATGGTGCTTTACTGCCTTGTTCTTTACCTTATGGGGATCACATTTTTTCCGATATATTCTTGATTTCCTACATATTATAGATTATACACAAGATAATAAGACCAAATACAAAAAAAAATAAATAGTGTGTTACATTTCGGTAACAGCATTGTTACCATCTTCAGACAAAAGTACTGAATAAATGTACTAGAAAGTAGTGAATAACAAATTTTATTCACGTAAGGATAGAGGCTACCTGGCCAGCATTCAAAGTTCTTGAAAATAAAGATACTTTACTGGCCGAAGTACTTTATTTTCAAGAAATTTTATTCAGTACTTTTGTCTGAAGATGGTAACAATGCTGTTACCGAAATGTCTAAAACTATTTATTTATTTGTATTTGGTCTTATTACCTTTTTGCTATATGTTATATATCTTGTTTACACATTTGATAATATTAATTATTTGAAACCTGCTGTAATATTTTTTCTCATTCAGAACTTTTGTCTGAAGATGGTATCAACGCTGTTACCGAAACGTCATACACTATTTATTTATTTGGATTCGGACTTATTATCTGGTGAATGAATATTTTACGAGAATTGTAGAGTAGCGCTAATATAGAAGAATATTCCCATGGTCAAATGGTCAAATATTTATTAAATTTATTCATAGAAATCATGAATGATGTATCTTTTCGAATAAATTAAATATTCTCTACTTTGCATGACAACTATACACAGAAAACGAAACTTCAAAAATGAAATAATAATCCAATATATTAGCAACACAAAAAATACTTGAAGAGAGATAGATTTTTTAAAAAACAATAACTCAAACTAATTGATATTTGTGTTTGACAAAAATTCAATTTAATTAATTATTGTTAGAGTTTTTTTTTTCTTCCAATATTACTTGTCATATCTGAAAAAAAAAGACACCATCTGGTATTTCAACGGATTTCAGAAACTAATCAAAATGTCGAATAGAGTCTTGTAGTGGACAATTAGAATTATCCCATTTTTTATCGTCAATACAAAATAATTGTTCTCAAATCATCAATCATACATAGATGTGATAGAATATTAGCATTAGTATGCATATTATTTTGAGTTTCTCACATTATAAATACATTTTTAAATTCGAATATGTATATGTATTAGAATTACACCAGTTTTTATCGTCAATGCAAAATAAATTTTTTAATTCATCAAACCTACATGATGTTTTGATTGATATTTAACATTAATACATATGATTTTAGGTTTCTCACATTTTAAATACAAATTTTAAATTAGAATATGTTTATGAATTAGAATTACACCAGTTTTTATCGTCAATGCAAAAGAATTTACAAATCATCAATCTCACATATTCTGATAGATATATAACATTAATCTGCATATGATTCTGAGTTTCTCATTTCGTAAATACAAATTTTTAAATTTGAATATCGATATGAATTAGAATTATACCAGTTTTTATCGTCAGTTCAAAAGAACTTTTTAAATCATCAAACCTAAATAATGTTTTAATAGATATTTAACATTAATGTGTATATTATGTTAGGTTTATCAAATTGTAAATACATTTTTTTTAGTTCGAGAAAGAATATATAAATTGTTATTCTATAATTCAATATAGCCTGATAATGGATTCTCTCACACAAAAAAATTCTGTTAGAGAAACATAAGAGTATCTAACCAAGATATAAATTCTTAAATAATATATTTTGAAATAATATATTATTAGTATATAAATACACTCTATAGGATTTAGTTGTAATACATTTTCACCATAAAACATTTATTTAAATGCTTTATGATAAAAGATATCTGATGAAATATACTTAATAAAGCATTGTGTGTGTGTGAAATTCACTTCAAATATGAATTGAGATTTGAGTTTTTAATTGTATATATCTCTAAAATTATTGCCATTAAAAGCCATATCAAACGAAATATTTTTACAGAATAGGAGTATGTAAAATAGTGATTCAGTTAAATATATATTTTTTTAGTTTAAATCGTGAATATGTTTTACATAAATGCGAAATTATCGTTATATATAAATATGAACTAAAAGATCTAAACAGGTTATAAAGAAACCGGAAAAGTTATAATCAGTTGTGTTCTTTTGAATTTTGTTTATGTATAGATTTAGGCATGTTTGATATAAAGCGATTATATCTT